TGCAGTTCCAACTATCTCTTGATTTACTGTTACCCTGGTCTGACCTTCATATGACTCTAGGACGGCAGTCATGTGTTGGACACTTAAACTCTAATATGTCTCAGCAGACCACGTAGTTCAATGATGGTTGAGGATGGTAATGCTGTCCTGGTCAGCAATATCAACAGCCCGGAGAAAGAATGACAAATGACACGAAACTCAACATGGAATAGAGAAAATGGTGATAGAGAAAAGAATATAGCATGTGTCCTCGTTCTCACGTGACTTGCGACCACTTTGTCCGGTCGTGCGGGGTGTAGTCTGCGTGCTGACGTCACGACACCGTGTCTATATAAGGTGAAGAAGTAGCGCTGTTGCTCCTTTCCATCTCGGCCCTGAGGCGGGAATGGCGCCGGTGAGTCAGTGAGGAGTAGGCCTCGGCCAACGGCCCCGGAATACAGATACCGGGTCTCCGTCGCTCGATTGACTGCTGCGCGAGCGCCGAGGCTTTGTGGCCTGTTGGCACAGTTTTAGCAGAAGCCGCCTCAGATGGTTGGATTTGATCACTGCTCGGTCGCCGCACATTTTAGGCAGCTGGGAGCCATTGCAAATCATCCCGAAGATTAGTTCACCTCTGTTTCTTGAATTTTTCAATGTAACTGATTATATACAGTAACTAATAATTTTACAACCGGTCTCGGCTTTACCTTCGCCCCCTCACCCGGGTCTTCGCCATTGTGTAACATTAGAGTTATACAGCGTGGAAACAGACGCTTCGGTCCAACCAGTCCATGCCGACCATAATCCTAAACTATACTGGTCCCACCTGCCGGCGTTTGGTCCGTATCCCTCCAAACATTCCTTATTCATACACTTACCTAAATGTTTTACAAACGTTGTAACTACCTGCATCCACCACCACTTCTGGAAGTTCATTTCACACGCGAAACGCTCATTGAAAGAAAATGCCCCTCGTGTCTTTTTTTTTAAATCTTTTCCTCACCTTAAAAATATACCCCCCAAGTCTTGAAATCCCCCACCCTAGGGAAAAGGCACTTGCTATTCACTTTATCTATACTCCTAATGATTTTGTAAACCCCTTTTAGGTCACCCCTTACACTCCTGTGCTCCAGTGGAAAAATGTCCCAGCTTATCCAGCCTTTCTTTATAACTCAAACCGTGCAACGTCCTGGTAAATTTCTTCTGAACCCTCTCCACCTTAATAATATTCTTCCTATAAGGAGGAGGCCTCACCAGCGCCCTGTACAACCTCAACTTAACATCCTAATTCCTATGCTCAGAGGTCTGAGCAATGAAGGCAAGCATGCTAAATGCCACCTTAACCACCCTATTTATATGTGATGCAAACTTCAAAGAATTAGGTACCCGAATCCCTTGGTGTCTGTGTTCTACAACATTGCCCAAATCCTTACTTTTAATTGCACAAGTCTTGTCTTTGTTTGTTTTACCAAAATAAAACACCTCACGTTTATCCAAATTAAACTCCATTTGTCATTCTTCAGCCCGTTGACCTAATTGATCAAGATCTAATTGTAATCTTAGCTAACCTTCTTCACTATTCACTATCCACTATACCACCAATCTTGGTGTCGTCCCCAAAGTTACTAACCATGCTTTCTATGTTCTCAACCAAATCATTTATATAAATGACAAATAAAGTGGACCGATGTGGATCCTTGTGCAGCTCTGCTGGTCACTGGTCTCCAGTCTGAGAAGCAATCCTCCACCATCACTCTCTGTCTCCTGAACGTCGGAGTCTGTAGTTGAGACCCTGCTATTTGGTGCTTGTATTTTCTCATACGCTCTTTCCTGCCCGCAGAAGAAGTCGGCTGTGCACCTCAAGGCCAAGAAGAAGCCAGTCTGGAAATTCACCCTCAACCTCTCCAACCCAGTAGAAGATGGCATCCTTGACTGCAGCAACTTTGTAAGGAATTTAAAACCAACATAAACTATTAGAGTTACTGGAAGTATGAATTAAAAATAGAAAGTGCTGAAAATACCTAGGTGGTTTGTCAGCACCTGGAGAGAGAAACAGTCAATGTGATCTTTTGTCAGAACGTTTGTTGAAAATGCTACTGTCAACCCAAAGCTGTCCCAGGTGTTGGTTGACCTGAACGTGCCCAGCATTTTTGGGTCTTTAATATAAAATAATTTATCCTCTTTATTTTCTGCCTGCCTTGACCACAGCTCCTCTGTTATTCCCACCTTGGTGCCCACTCTTCCTCTGAGTGCTGATGGGCTGATTGGGTATTACAGTAGTGTCTGGCCTATGCACTTGTGTGGCATAGAACAAGACGATCCAGAGTGGGACTCTCCACAGCTTCTACAGGGGTGGGGTGCAGCAAAAATAGGCAGCAAGAGCTGTGATTTTACCCTCCATAGTAGCTACTGTGCCTGACTGTTAGTGATATTGGGAATTGGTGTACTTGCAAGGACAGTCAAAAATCCCCACACACCTACAAAACAAAATGAGACATGAGAAAGACTGATGAAATGAAGGTAATTTATATCAAAGTCACTATTCACAAGTTAAATGGAAGTGGGTGTCTTAAGTGACATGGATCGGTTTAAAATATTATGTACTAAATGGGTTATACCCCTGTGCTCCAATCTTTCATATTGCTGGAGAATTTGCTCTTGTGGTCATGAATTCTGTTTGCTGTGATGTATAACAGCTGTGTTTCAATAGACTGTGTAGAATGTTAGCAATAGTGATTGCCTTTTATATTGTTGCTGTATTGGTCTCTTTGTCCGTATCAGCCTAAATTCAGTACCTTGTAATGATGGAATGGTTTCAGTAGAAACTGGATGCTTGTACCAGATCAGGTCCGGCACCTCTATTCCTGTCAAGATAATTGAGTCTTAACTGCATAGAAATCTGACACAGCCCCATTGTGACTTCCACAAGCAACTTCAATGTTGGAAAAGGTCCCAAGGGAACATTAATGGAATTAGTTTTCCTGTTACATGCCTGAGTAGACTTAGAACTTTGACTATATAACTTCTGAGAAGGAGAATGCCTTGAATTTAGTCTGGCTCTGTCATTGACTAAAATGGAGGAGACAACTACCAGCTGCAAGGTTTTAGAACTTTCGAGTTTTTAACAAATGATCGAATTTCATTCTCTTCCTCCCTTTAACTCTTTGCCCGCCTAATGGCTTTGTTTTGGCTAGGGTCCTCGTCCCTAGTCTGTGCCTAGGGTTTCCTTCCCTAGTGTCCCATGGTTTTTTGTTTCATAACAGGAGCAGTTTCTGCGGGAGAAAGTGAAGGTTGGTGGGAAGACTGGAAACTTGGGCAATGTTGTCCAGATTGAGAGCCTGAAAAACAAGATCACTGTCACGTCAGCTAAAAAGTTCTCCAAAAGGTAAGCATTTGGCTCCTTGCGTCATTTCTTGTTGTGGCAATACCATGATTGGCCTTGGTACTCAGTGTAACGAGGATGGGAGGGTGAGGCTCCTGAGTTCTGACATTGTGCCATTAGCTCAAGCATTGAAGTAGTTCAGGAATGTGTTCTGTCAGCCTTTATTTAGTTTCGGAAAAGAAAAACTTAATTTAAGAAAAAATGTTGCACTGACCATTGAGGGAGCAATATTCGGCATTTGTGTGATGCTGCCGTGGTTGCATAGCTAGGTTGGGCCTGGGCAAACCACATGAGTAAGTGTCACCAGGTGTGTGGCTGCAACCAGCCATGTTTCAGTAGAATCACAGAAATATATGGCATTGAGAACAAGCCATTTGGCCTGGCTGTTTATGCTGTAGTCTCTGCAAAATTCAGATACTTTTCCAACTGTTTTGATGTCAGGTTTAGTTTTGCATTAATTGGCTGATTTTCCTTTAGCATATTGCCACTGTACCCCGCTTCGCAGGAGATATGAAGCTGTTGGCTTGATTGTGGAGTCCTATGCCACCTGAGCTTTGGTTGATCTCAGTGCCTCGAGGTAAAGTGCAGATGGTTGTTAGTAAATCCAATGGACCTTTAAACATAAGGATATCTGTTTAAGGGCCAGATAAGTTTTGCTCTGGGGTTCAGTCCAAAGAACTTGATTATGCTCTTGCTTGACTTAATATCAGGGAATGACTTAACTCTGGAACTGTGTCCTGTCCTGTCTATCAGGAAAACTGCAGCCTTCTCCCTGGGCAGAATAGTGCTATCATTTGTTTTATAGAGCTCTTTTCAGAACTTCTGAAGCACTTTACATTGTTGAATCAATTTTGAAGTTTAGTCCCTGTAATGTAAGAAATACACATTACGACTATGGTGGGTGGAATGTTTTGATAAACGAACCTCACTGCACCATTAGTATAACTATTTTGATTTAATCACGAAAATGGCTGGTGTCTCCTTTTTTTAAAATAAAGAGACATTAACCGGACTGCTTTTACTTCATACCTTTTCAAAAAAAAACTCAACCAGTATTTGTCATTTGTTGCAAGATAATATCTGTGCTATGATCTGGAATTAGAACTGTATCCCCTTCATCCCAAATGCAGACACACACTCAACACGAAGACAGCTGTCTTTGCAGAGATTCTGTTTTCAAAATGGGGACAAAAGCATCCTTCAGGGCCAAGGATAGAATGTGATGACTCTTCATGGTTTGTCAGGTTTCATGTCGGTGAAATTGAATTGCTGACTGCTGTTGACTGATGGAAATTTGCAGTCAACCTGAATCTCGGTCTGTGGAAAGCACCAAAGTCCACTTTTGCCAGTTTTACACAGTGGTTGGAAATACTAGTATGTGGAAATGTTGTCAGGTTCCCAGGAACATCTACTGAGAAAAGGGAAAGATTTGCAGCTTCTGGGGTGTTCTCCTTACTGACTATTATAGTCTGCTGAACAGAAAACTAATTCCTGTTACGCCAGGAATGGCCGAACCCCACTGATAATTAAACTTAAACACAAGCCCCAATCTGTTATGACAGGAGTTGAGGCCCCTCTCTAATAATTACCCCCAAACACCCAGAGAAGCTTGTCTTGCCCCTCGTAATCTATTAAAAATGGTTAAAAGAAAGAACATCCCTGCTCTCCACTTTACAAGTAACAAGAAATGATTTATTTATTTAACCCAACAATGAACAAATTAACAAAATTACTAACAAACAAATCCCCCCC